GTCTACTTGTTAACGCTGCTTTTACGGTTTCTACTGCATTATCTTGCGATTCGCCCCACGACCACGAACAATCTTTTTTTAAAAGTTTAGTAGGAGGCAAAACCATACCTGCAAAATTATTCAAAAATTTTCTAAAATAGGAAGCTAACCCTAAAAACTGTCTAACTTGTTTTATAGTACATGGTTTGGGCATCTGAAATATAGCTGAGATCTTGTTTAAACTTGGCCGAACTCCATCCGCAGAAATTTCGCGACCTAAATATTCAACTTTAGTTTGAAAGAAGGAGCATTTTGATAATTTTAATGTTAAATTATGCTTCCTAAGTTTTTCTAAAACCACTCGCAATTACTGTAAGCCTTCTTTAAATGAATTTGATGCTATAATGACATCATCGATGTATACAAGTGTATTGTCTCCAAGAACTAAATTCATTAACCGCTGGAAAATACTAGGTACGTTACACAATCCGAACGGTACCCTTAAAAATTCATAATGAGCGTCAGGGGTTACAAAACCAGTTTTTTCTACTGAATCAGCACTAAGCGGGACCTGATAAAAACCTGACATTAAATCAAGGGTTACATAGTACTTAAATCCATCCAATCGATCTATCTGGTCTTCTATAAGGGGCAAGGGATATTTATCTTTTTTTGTAATTCTATTAAGCGCACGAAATCAACACACAAACGCGGCGAACCGTCTTTTTTTGAAACCAGTAATATGGGACTTGCATATGGAGAAATCGATTCCCTAATTATCTGGTTCGCTAATAATTCATCTATTATTTCCTTAACTATTTGCCTTTCCGACATTGATAGTCTATATGGTCTATAAACAATTGGTTTATCGGTCACACATTCTATTTTCATTTGTATACTATCTGTTTTGCCCAATTCGCTTAACTCAAAACAAAATCGATCTTTAAATTCAATCAGAAAATTATTTAACTTATCTCTGTTTGTAATAGAAAGAAGGCCACACTGAAATGTTTTTAAATGTGTTTCAAATTTAGTTTTATTTATACTTTCAATTTGATTTTATAGTAAAACGTTTATTTAGGTCTTTATTTTGGACTGAGTCATGTGACATTGGGAGTTGAGAGAAATGTAAACAGCTCTGTGTTTTAACGATAAGACTGGTCCAATGTTCTGTAAATGATTGCCCGATTAGTAAATCATATCGCATTTTAAAGTCTTTTACGATATATAAATGGGTTTTTATAGTTACTCCATCGATTGTTATGTCTATGTCACATTCATATTTGGGCTCAACATAACTATCGCCGCCGAACGTGTAAAGTTTATTTGTTTATCTAAGATTATTTTGTCGGCGACAGACTCGCGAAGCAAAGTGGAATCACTTCCTAAATCAATAAAACATTCCACTGTGTGACTTTTAATTTTAGCCTTTTTATTGTAAATACTTTTTGAAGGCATTTTAGAAATATGATTTATTGATTTTCCTTTAAAACGACCCTGACTTTCATTGTGACCTATTTTTTTGCAAAAATTACATTTTTTTTTGTTTTTTGCCGGGGACATTCAAAACGTCTGTGTTTGATCTCTCCGCATGAATAACACTGATCTTTCCTAACTTTTTTATTCTTTTCATTAAAATTATCTGATTGTAAAGTTTGAAAATTGCGTTTAAAATTAACGGGTTTGCTTATCACTGGTTTGTCTAATATATTTACACGATTACTAGTGCTGGGGAAATTTGTAACGAATTCTGTCAATTCAAAAAAAGATTTACAGTTCGCAGCTTTGATTGCTAATTGAATTTGCTTATCCGAAATACCTGCAATGATACAGTCTGCTACTTGCTCGTCTGTAAAATTCAATTTTAATTTATTGAGCTTACTTAGCTTTAAAAAACAGTAAGTTTTTAAATCTTGGCCTGCAAGTGTTTTGTATACACTGCAGCCTCTTGAAACATTTGCGAAAATTTTTCTTTTGCCGGAAAAGTTGTACGTAACATTTCTTGCCATTGTTGCCAACTATACTGAGTACTTTTTAAGCTATCATACCAGACACGCGCTAAACCTTTCAGTTTTCCTAGAGCTAAATAAATGGTCGTGACTTCATCCCAGTGATATAAATGTGCACACTGGTTAACTTTATTTAACCAGTCTCCAATATTTAAATCGCATTGCGGGGTTAAAATCTGACAACAACCTGTCATCTTTAAAGAAACCCCAGTTGGGCTTTGGTATATATTCCATGTTTACATCATGTTTATTACTGGTATCTATTGAGCCTGTACTTACCGCCTCTCGTAACTCCCGTAATTAATTTGCCATAGATCTTACAATTATTGTCTGTGAAATGGGTGGTGTTTCGGATCGCGCACTAAGTTCATCACCTCCAAGTTCCTATGATGTATTCATTATAATGCAAAAACTAATGCACAACACACGAAACTATCTACTTATTGGTAAACAATAAGGCTAAAAGGCACCTTAAGGGCCTATCCCACTTCTGAGATAAAGTCAATAAAATCCACGTAAAACGAATTAATTTTATATTACTTAAAATACTAACATTTAACTCTTTATATCTATCTATTTTGAGATGTTCAACCGATCTGCCTAATTCATTGCCGCCGCTTCTCTCGAATCCCCCTGCCCAGTCGCTTTGCTGACTATACAATTTACTATACATATTACGATGACTTGTGTAATACGGGGGGGACTTTTAGAAGTTGACTACATTGTATGTTTATTTTCGTCACATGTATGATAAAATTTTACATGTGCGCAAATATGGGGTAATTTTCTGATTTATCCCTATATTTGTGTGTTTTTTAATGGACTGTATGATTAAATTTTACTGGTTTCGGGTATTCAAACTGCGATACCACTTTTAATAGAGTTTATTACAATATTATTCGGTATACAACAAAAGAACAAGTTGTTGATACGAAACACAGGCACGAACAATGCTAGAGTATGTCTAGTATGAGGCTACTTGCTTTTATAAATGTTTTACTTGATAACACCCGAGCTAATAAGTTTTAATTCACTTTTTCCGATAAATAAGAACGCCGGCCGGCTAACGCCCACAAAGTGCGGGAAAACTCACATATTATGACGAGCTCACCCTACTCACCTTAAGTTAAGATTGCTTCTGTCTAAACAGTGCCCGAGATTGCACCGTTTATGAGAGGAGATAGAAAACGAGCGCGAATTACCAGGGTTGGTTGGAATTACGTCATGAACTACCAATAGTACCAATCAGGCGCAAATGTGATGTTGGTTGCATGATGTTAGATGCGGTTTAGCATTTAATTATGTAATAAGGGGCGAGAGAAACAAATATATTTAAATTCGCTGACTAGCGGCGTAGGGGAAAGGGAGTAAAATAATTGATAGATTCTGGCAGAGAATAATGTTAGTTATTTTCCAACAACATGTAAGTACATTATACAAAATAAATAATTTTTGGAATTGGGTAGAAGACATAATATTTTTCATTTAGTGTTTCTCTTGCGTTTCGATCAGACCTAAAATAGAAGTTTTGTGTAAAAAGTGCTCGTAATAACTCGTTTATTTTGTAATTATACATATATGGATTTACCATCAACTTCATCAACGGGAGGGCGGCGTAGTCTTGAAAAAAGCTCTGATGATTATAGCGATGAATAAGAGAATCTATTTGAAATAGAGGAAAGTGAAAATGAAAGTGACAATTCAAGTGAAATTGACACTGACAGTGAAAATAAAACGGTTGCCGGTATATAATTTAGTTTGGAGAGCATGTAATGACTTCCAGCCTAAAATATACAATTTTGATAGTGAGAATTCCGGAATAAGAGAAAATTTTAACATTCACGAAGAAGCTAAACAATACGGGTATTTCATAAAATTCTTTGATAACGAACTAATAGAAGTTATTGTGAATGAAACAAATAATTATTTTTATTTTTGCGATGACGCATGCCCAACACGCAAACGAAAGAAATGGTTTGACACCAGTGTTTCTGAAATGTATACATTTTTGGCATTGCTATTATTGATGCCACACATCAAAAAACATGAAATACAAGATTACTGGTCCACAGATCCCATGATATCTACCGAATTTTTCTCTAAATATATGAAAAGGGACAGATTTATTCAATTATTGCGATATTTACATTTTGCTGATAACAACAATCCCTTTAAAATGATCGACTTTGGAAAGTAAGAAGTATTTTTACAAATATAAATCATAAATTTTCTGAATTTTTTTTATCCATTTCAAAAGTTGGTCATAGATGAATCACTAATTCTTTTCAAAGGCAGGCTTCAGTTCAAACAATATATTCCTTTCAAACGACATAGATTTGGAATAAAACTGTTTGTTGCATGTGATTGTGAGACAGGAATGGTTTTGAATAAGAATGAATTACTATTTTGCAGATTCAGTTTGCTAGTTTTACGGTGGTAGTTATAAAAATGGTACTAGTAAAGGTCTAACTGCGGTACTAATAAAAATTACTGATTCAGTAGGGAAGGTTTACTGTGATGGTAATACGAATAATAGTTATTCTATTTCTAACTGAAGTAGTAAAAGAAAATATTACTGCCATGGTAAGAATTTTGACTATTAAACTTAATTTACAGTCTTAGTAACACATCTAATAGTTGTAGTTAGACAATCTTACAGTAGCAGTAAAAAGTTTTACAGCCACAGTAAACTTTCTAGTAGTAAGACTTTCTTACAGAAGCGCTTTCCTCAGTGTAAAACTACTTTAGTTAAAAAAATGATTCGTTAAAAAGATTCGTTATTTAGTGTATTTTTTCTTAAAACTTAAAACAAAGATAATTTTATTGATAGCAAAATTAAAACAAAACCTCAAAATTCACGAAATTGGAACCAAACATATAAAATAACAAGGTCCTACGTTTCAAAGAACAATACAAAACTTATATTTAAAATAGAAATATAAATTTTAAACGAATATGTACACTCAACATGGAAAACAAGGGACGTAACATGAAAAACAGGAATTTTCCTACCTGACTTCAGATCCCTCAGCTCTTTCAATTCCCTTAGCGCTTTAAGTTCCTCCAAGCTGGTTTTGGGTCCTTTGTGCAGCACGAAAATATCGTTAAATATTTACATACTTATTTTAATTACGAGAGATTTCTTGTTCCAAACAGGATTTGCGACTTAAAATGTTTTCTTTCAAGAAAAATTGTACTGATTTTAATTTAAGAGTAGTTAAAAGTTGTTTTCGTTTAGGGAGATACATTAATAGACATTTTTCTTTTCAAACTAAATGCCGTTTGGATTTAGAAACAAATTTATTTAGCGTTTCTAACTTATACAACTCTTTTTATAAGACAGAAATCACTTCAAATATTTGAATTTAATTTGTATTCTTCACGATCTGCTCTTGAAAAACTGGCTGCATTTAATTTTAGTGGAAATAGTCTCGATGTAATAATTAATTAACTTACTGCCGGCTCAATGGGTAAAAGGTAAACAAACTTCAGAAAGCATAAAGCATTGCAACATTTGAGTTCTACAAGGATTAATTATGGGACCCTTTTTTAATACATATGAAGGGCCCACTATATAATACTACTTAATTTTATTTTACAATTTTTGCTGATAACACTTCATTATCAATAATTATAAGTTCGTCATATTTCACTCAAATTACTTTCTAAAAAGAAACCGACAACAAGATTTATCTCAACACCCCCTAAACACAAATATCAATGTTGTTAACAAAAAATATTTTGAACCAACAACATCAAGATATTACATTCTTACAAGTTAACTAAGATCCGTATCTTATCTGGAATAATCAATCACACCGATTTCTTACGTAAGAAATTGAATAAGAATATTTCGCTTTGATAAATGTAGCCCTCTGAACATCTACATACATCAATATAAAATTTAGCTTATTTTTCCTGTTAATTTCCCCATCCAATCCCATCTTTTGCTGGGGATATAATGTATATTGTTTGAGATTTAACGTAAAATAATGAAAGGATTTTCTATATGATGTATATAATGTACACAGTACATAAAACAAATATCAAACGTACGAATCGGCTCACCAATACTGCATACGTAACAGATTAAATATTTGCCCCAATTTTTTTTTCTCTCCTGGACTCGTCTGACTATGTGTCTCCGAATAACACTGAAGCCTATTGGCTTATTGTGTTTTACCCCATGTTAGTTCATAGCACCCACTCTATCACCTTTGTACCTTGTACAAGTTTGTACAGATCCTTGGGTGAGTGGGTTCTATACGTTGTTGGATCAACCTGGGGTTGTCCAAAAAGAGCCTGTCTTTTGCGATCTAGAGCTTCGCATTCGCACAGTATGCGTTTGGCCGTTTCTGGTTTCTTGTGACATAGTCGGCACATGAGTTCCCCATTGTACATGCCAATTTTGTTCAAGTGTCCCTTTACTGGGGCGTACCCAGTCATGAACCCTGTTATCACCTTCAACTGGTTCCTATTCAATAAGAGTAGTTCTCTAGTTCTTTTTGGACATGGTCTGCCTATGAAGGCTTTTCCATGTGCCTGTTTTGGGGTGCTTCCCCAATAGTTGATATGTTGTTCCCGAATCCAGTCATTTATAAAACCCCGGACTGTATTTTTGGTACTACTGGGTTTGTGTCTGGTTCCGGTGTTTCTTCTGACCCTCTTTTTGCAAGTTCGTCAGATTTTTCGTTGCCTTCGATCCCTTTGTTACCTGGCACCCAAAATAGTTTTACTCTATTTCGGTCTGCCAGTGTTCCTAGTTCTTCGATGCATTCCCATACCAGCCTCGACGTAACTTTCTGACTCGATATGGCCTTAAGTGCCGCTTGGCCGTCTGACATTATTTGAATATGCTGATTTTCGACAGCTCTTTCATTGTTCGTTTTTGCACATTGCAAAATTGCGTATACCTCGGCCTGAAATACCGAGGAATGTATTCCTATAGCATAGCTATGGTTAGTATCAGGGTTTTTGGAGAATACTCTTGCCCCAGTGCCTTCTGCAGTCTTATACCCGTCTGTATACCAGGTTTGTTCCTGTCGTTGAGCATTGGGCTCCCAATTATAGGCCAGTTATTAAAGATAATCAATTCACATTAATTACAAAAGTTTCTAAACTGTTGGAATATTTAATAAATTGAAATAATTATAGAATAATTTTGGAACTTTTTCTAAGGTCCGAAACATATATTACTAATTACAAAAAATTAAAAGGACCACGCACTTTTCTTATGCAAACGGGAGTACCGTTAAAATGTCTGAATTTTTGATATGTTAAATAACTTGATGTCCCCATCAAAAGTGTCCTTGGGCCCAATCGTATCCTATGACTAGATTTTGAGATACAGGGTGTTGAAGTTAGAAATCCCCAATTCTTTAATATGGACACCATAAATCACCCTTAAATATTTTTGGAAGCTTTTTGCTCATTCTGTGTAGTCAAAATACATACTTAACTACTATAATTAAAATATTGTACCTTACAGGGTGAATAATTCGGCAAATCTTTTTTGGTCAAAGTAGGTATTCCCACCGAACAGAAATAGCTAAAATACCGAAAAAAAAAAAAAAAAAAAAATAAATAATAATAATAAATATCACCGTCAAAGTCTCTCAATATTTGATATCGTATAGTACTCGATGTACTCGTTCAAAATTATTTATGGTAAAATTAGATCCTATTACTAGTTTTCCAAATATAACTTAATATGTACCAAATATATGAATTTTAAACAATAAATATATACTGACAAAATAGATATTTTCTAGAGAAATATCTTATATTAAATATTTTAATATACTGTTTTAGATTAAGAATATACCCCTTGTACTATTTTCAAAGAGACAAAAAAATCTTACTTACAGGGTGATTGCGGTTGAATATGTAAAAGGAAAAAATCAACAAAATGCTGAAATTGTTGGCAAAAAAATAGAAAATAATTGCCTTTTAACTTGCGAGTTGTTTGTGTGCAGTGGTTGACTGCCATCGGGATTAACCCATTTGCCACAGACATTATTATTTTTATTACAATTGTTACCACTGATTGTTAATTGTTATTGGTTTATATGTTAATTTTAGATTCTTTAATAAATGTTATCAATGTATCAAATACTTTTTTATTGTTTGAGATCAATAGCAACGTAATATTGGCTGGAAAAGAAATCCCTATATCTAATAACTTCGTTAAAAAAAATTTTCTATATTTGTTGTGGTTGTTACATGCAAATATCAAATGATTAAGATCTCCTACTGAATTTGCTAGTTATTTATTAAAAAAATCTTATTAGTTTACATACAGGGTCATACATTATTTCATTACAAAGAAAGTTCATTATACGGTAGGTATAAGTAGGATCTAGGGAAATGAATAATGATCGGATTGAATGTTTATTTTGACTGGAGCATTGCCTCTTTATATTGTATATTTATATCAGATTGGGATCTCCTTTCCGCGTAGTGTTAGCCCATGTAGGAATAGTGCACTGCTTGTATAATAGGACAGGTCAAAAATTACCAAAAAAACATTAATTTAGGCTAGTGTGAAAAAATTGTGTTTTATGTGGTTTACACCCTATATAAAAATTAGTAAAAAAATAAAATATTTAGCTGGGACCTTAGGGGTGAGAAATTAAAAAACTAAAAAAATTCAGCTTTGTGCAGCTCTTCGCTTGATTTAAAACTCAAGGGGTTTAGGGCAGCTACAAGATAATAAAACCGGTTTTGAATGTTAAATCAACCCAGAACTCACCACGAGGAGGTGGCCGCACTTCAAGTTCCACCCAACCACCCACCCACCCATTTCTCCATTTATCTCAATATATCTTACTTATTTATATAAAGAGATCATTACTTTTTTGGCAAGTCTTTTTTGGCATCAAGTTTAGCACGTATGTACGTAGAATTTTCACAATACCCAATTCTCTTTTCTCTTTTTTTGGCATTTTTAGTAATATCATAACTTGGAAAAATATAACAATAATGGCAATAACAAAGTACAACTGAATTTATTACAAACACTAAAGATATAAATTCAGATACTTTGTAAGGTATATAAGAAAACAAAAGTCAAATATTAAATTAAAAGAACAGCCTGAACTAAAGATAAACGACCAAATGACTGACGTAACTGAATCAAGACGTTTACGTTAAGTATTAGGTGCAAATACGAGATGATAATAACAATTAATTTTCTTCTACTATGGGACCGAGATCGATATTTTTTGGAAATAATCGGTCTGCTGCATCATCGATGCTATTTAGTAAATGTGTTGTTGGAAATCTTATATTATTCTGGTGCCTTATATAACCAAGAAACCGTAACACTGATGCAATATGTGCGCAAGTACTTAAAGTTCTCGAACCGCATGGACATGTACAATAATAGTAGAAAATTGGATCAATATTTTCATTAAGTTCCTCTTCGTATGCCAACCGCAGCATATATTTAGTTGCGTTTCTGAACCTAGAATAAATTCTAAAACGTAACAAATTATTCTCTTCCCTAAACTCGTCTATTTCTAAAACATTATTTTCCTCTCTTTGCAGTTTATCTTGAATATATGATGAACTTAAATAAATATGGTAAAAACCTACCAAGTCTTTTAGGAAATTGATCTTTACGCGAGGAAATTTAGGAATATGCATGTGGTTCAATCTTCGCCACCGGCCATTTCTGGTAGTCAGATTTTGGGCTTCGACGCGTGCTTGTATAATATTAACGTCATCTAGTTTGTTTAAAATTTCAACTGCTATGTCCATTGTACCTGGTGGGTTTATAAGAGGATGAAACTTATTTAACAACGCACCTGCAATCTGATAAAAACCACTCAAATTAACTGCATGATGCGTGGATATGCGGCCTTTAAAAAATTTAAAAATGGATTTAAAATGTCCTTTCTGGCTTCTACAACCAACGAGTTTTAGTTATTAGTCTCGCTCTATTAGCTTCACTTGTTGATAATTGCCGTTGGTTTTAATGAAGCAAAGGTGGCATATAAGTAATTAACCCAAGTTCTTCTAATCTAGGAATAACATCTCTGTAGCCTATCTACTATTACTATATTTCCTTCTGTAATCCA